TAACTTTGTAACAAACCAGCAAGTAGAATGTGATAACTGCATCACCAATTGCCAAAATAAAGATGGCGGGTACAAAAAAAAGGGAAGATAACTCAAAAGTCTAGACATGATTACATTGGTCCAATGTCTCTGGTTCGAGCTTAAGTTTTTATCGATGCCAAGGGAAATTTGTTGATAATAGGGGAGGTTACTTTTTTTTACAAGGTTGGAAATACCACATCTATAAATTACTTCCCTTGGAAGAAAAAAATACCCTTGCAAGGGCTGCCTTTATTTTAAAATTTTCTATAAAAATTACACAATGTTTAAATTGACTATTCTTTACACAATGTTTGACATACACTGATTTGTTGACGATTTTTTTCATGATAAAAATTTATAATTAAAACAGAAAAGTGTTTTTGTGATAAAATCAGGTAAACCTATTCAACAATCTGAATGTCACTTTACCGGGGGGGGGGGGGGGGGGGGGGGGAGGGGAGGGGAGGGGGGGGCGGTAGACAAATGGGGCATATGAAATACTTCTCCAATAATTTACATCATACAGCCAAAAGATGACATTGGCCAGAATAAAACATCTGACCAATGATAATATACATAATGACATCCCCAAAACTGATCACACTATTCAGCAAACAAAATAGATACCATTATCCCCTTATGATAAAACTACCCTTGGCTCTTTCCGTAAAAATTTTAATTTGAAATCTATACCTTACACGTACTTGTGGATTATCGTCTGGTAGATCACTGGGTGATTGCGTCATCATCCATCCATGCTACGAGGTCATAAATATAAATAAACACGATTCTCGTTTGTTTTTTTCATTTAATCATGTTAAATAGAAAGAAAATAGCAATTAAAACGAACTTGGCAGCACGCATTAAACCCGATATTTTGGAACGTCAAAGAAATGCTGTACACTGTGAAACTGTGGTCTATAGACATGTAAAACACTGTTATTTGTAGGTATAGTATAAGTATCAGCAGTTGGGTTTATTTTAGTTTACAAATGAAAAGATTGTGTCAAGGGAGAATAAACATACAAAACGTTTCATTGCAATGGCAATTGAGTTATCTCCCTTGTTCCCTTGTTGATTCAAGCTGTCTTGGTGTTTTTGTCCACAAATACGTTATTTTTAAAGTGGATTCACCAGAATTCCATGCGTTGTTTTTAGCTAATTAGATATATATGCAACAATTAGGAACAAACTTGTTACCCTTCTCCATTTCACAAATACCTGCGCTTTGAAAAATATTTTTTTAAAACTCCAAATAAAATTAAAACGAAAATTCATAAAAATCTTTATTGCATCACATTTTACTGTCAACACAAACTGTAAAATAAATACAAATCTGCACAATAATAATTTCACTAATTAGAGTAATAGAATACTTGATTATGTCAATATTGTTGGATACTTATATATATGCTGAAATACATTACTATTTTAAAAATTGATAAATATTCTTAAACTTATAAACTAACTTCTCAACTTTAGTTTTTTTAATTTTGAAGTTTAATTTAAAATGTATTATACATCAAATTGAGAAACCAATTATAATCAATACTCAAGAGTAATGATAGATTCACTTTAATTTTGAAAAATGGGTGTAATTGAAAAAATTATGCAAAAAGATTATCCGCCTCATTTCTAATATTTATCATTTTAATGAGCAACATCCACAAGAAAAAGAATGTATTGTTGGCTTAAATTGAAATAGAAGGCTGTATTAAGTATAAATGTTGCTGTTTTTAAAAAATGATGTAACAATTAAACAGGTTTGGTTATTTCCCTTGATAATATTATTTATATTGAATTAGCAAAACAATAACTTCTGAAAAAATCTTAATGATACAATTTTAATTTTTTTTAGTTGAACTAATTTTTTTTTACTTTTGTACTTTTATTGGCCCATCCACACAATTTTTTTTATTTAAAAAAACTGTTTTATGAATATACTAAAAATTCAAAGTGAACATAATTCCTGTTCATTTTGTTTATATACAAATTTTTGTCCAATGAAACAAAGCAACAAGGTAAACATGACAGAAAAAAGGGTCATGAGGTTAAAATTAAAACCGCAATGCTTCATTCTAAATAAACAATTAAAAATTTTAAATTATTAAAATTATGCCAACAAATTAAAAAGAAACAAATTCGTAATTATCATTTTTCTTAAACACTCTCCTCCAATGCCATTCAAATTAATATCACAAAAATATTGTCAAGCTACCGGTAATTACAATAACTGGGAACTGAGAAAAATCAGTAATAAAATGTAATAAAATTTACACATTATCATGATCATCAGTGTATCAACTTGCCATAAATACCAAAGAGTAGCTTCTCTTGTGGGTATTTCTAAATATTCAAAGACTGAAATCTTTCTAGGAAAACTTGCAGAAATTCAAGCTAAATTCAGAAGTATAAAAAGAATTTTAAAACATAGCTAAATGATAATAAATACACGATTAAGGCTTAACAGTAAAACCGGGTTGCGAGAAAAATTCTAATTAACATATTAATTTTTATAATTAAGCTGCAGCAGCTACTTTACATAAAATAAGTTTTTAATAGTGTGTTAAGTAGATACAGCTTTCTTGTGCTGCTTTTGTCTTGTATTCAGTTAACAATTTTATCCATTCATGGATATAGACTTTACACACTTTACATCAAATACACTAACTTATTTTGAAAAAAATTTTTTTTTACTTTATCGTAATATCACCTATTCTGGCGACCAGAAGTGTGGGAAGCACAAAACTGACCAACTACTTATAAAACATGTTGTTGCTGCCCATCATAGGATAGCAACCCTGTCTACCCCCTAAGTTAATCAATTTCTTAAAATTAGGTTGTTTGCCATTTTTTTTTACTTTGATAATATGCAACAAATATCACATATTATAGAAAAATTCTTTCTTCAAAGAAATATGCTTATATAATAAATATTACAATTCTTTCAAGGTGAAACCCATATTTACAGTTATTACATTAGGAAAATATTCATTCTTAAAAGCAGGTTTAAACAGTTTTCAAATGCCAAAATGAGATAATGGAATGCTATAAAGAATTTTTGTCTGATTGGTAAAAGAACCTTTAAAATGTTAAAGAAAAATTATAATCTGGCTATAAAAGAATCTTTGTGTAAACTACTAATCTACACTACCTTGAATTTCTGTTACATTTTACTATGTACTTTTATAATTATTTATTTACCAGTACCCATTAAAGTCAGACTAAAATTATTTACCCAAGATCCAAAAGTTATTTCTAACATAAAAGAAAATAAAAGCAAAAAAATTTGTCCTACATTAAAAAATTCAACCTCACAAGGTTTGGCACTTTACAAAACAAAAACTTTTACTTTGTTTTGTATGTATTTTTTTCTTAAAAATTTATAATACAATTTTAGTATCATATTTATTTTAATTAAGTGTTTTTGGGCAAATGTTTGCCCTTTTTATCTTAAAAATTATTATTCAGTGAAAAATTAAAAAATGGACAACTGCAAACAATTTCTAAAAAAAATTGTAAGGCTTGGTAAATAATACATTAATAGATTAATTTAACAGACTATTATTTTATTTAAACAATTCAAGCACCTGTTTAATGAAGACGTTTTCAGTCAAAACTATGTTTTAATAAGAGATGTTAAAAAAATGTAGGCTTTTCTTCCTGTATCATCAGCAGCAGTAAATGATACAAGGTTTAAAAATTAAGGTTACAAGGTTAAAAAAAATTAACTAAAGCTATCAGCTTTTACAGCACGAATATAGTTGAAACTTTTATCTAGGCCAACAAATAGAAAGAAATATCTGATTATCAAAAAGTGTTTGTAGTAACAGTAGTAGTCCAGTAGTGGATATGGCTAAGAAATGTTCTTGTAAAAACTATACGGTTTCATATACGTTGGTAAACTATTATTAAACTATTTTGTACTGGTTTCATATACGTTGGTAAACTATTATTAAACTATTTTGTACTATCGTAGCAGTGAAGATGGTACTTTCTCTAAACTCAATACAGCTGCCACAAAAGTTTTAATATTTTACCATACAAGATCTAGTTATTTATAAGCTGATAGCAATTTTCACAGTAATTTAAAAGTTGTTTTTAAAAGTTAATTTTTCTCTTAGGTTTAGGTCTAGGTGCGGGTCAGCTCAAAAATATGAAGCTGTGTACATTTGTATTATTTACCAGATTAATGATAAGTACCCAGTCTTGTATCCTCTTTTAGCCTGTCTAAATGGAGTGTAGAAGTTCAGTCAGCAGATTCAGAGGGCGGGAGAAAGGGGGGGGTAAATACAAGTCTAACCTACTTCCATCACAAAATATAACAGATGGCATAAAGAATATTACAGATACATGAGCTCAACATCACAGAGCAAGCAGTTTTTCCGGTAATTAGCCAACACCAATAAAAATTGGTTTCCGCTGCGGCACACGAAACATTAGAATATTATGATACACAGAAGTCGTAGTCTCAGTTCATGATTGTTGATGTATGAGTAATATAAAAAGTTTATGTCCGACATATATATATAAATATATATATATTTATAGAAATGGTTATGAAGAAATGGAATTCCAATACAAGTCCTTAAATTATGCAAGTCTCAATATCAGAGAGTAAAATGCAGTACTTGAACTTGGTTCAATATATCAGAAATTTTAACGGAAGGCTTTAAAGTAATAAATAAAGTAGCATGTTAAATCTTTTTAGGTTGTGTATTCACTTCCAACAAGACGGTGTCCAGGAAAAGCGTTTAGACGATTTGTTTTTTTTATACTCCTCTTATCAAGGTCACTTATTTCAGCCTCCTCGACATGGTCAGCAGCGTCTTCTGTGTTGCCAGGGTTAAAATCTAACATGACTTTTTGGATTTCACGTCCGTCCCGACGCCGGAGCTCGTTAACCCCCATGCGGATAATGTCGTCGTTTGTAGGGTGATCAGGGTTTGGCTTACAAGGCGAGGAGGACGTGGGGGTGCCAGGGTTGGCTGAAGAGGCTGATGAAGAGGAGGAGAGTCGTCTCACCCTCTCGCTGGATGTGCTGCTACTCCTGCGATTACTACTTGTCCGGAATCTCTTCTCGCCACCGTTAATTAGATAGTAATCAGGGTCACAGTTTTTCCTACGGCTTGACCGCCTGGTCTCAACTTCAATGACTTGTCCGTTTTTGGTGATAGTTGTGGTGGTGGTCAGACTGCCCTGAGCACTCGGGCTCTCCGCTCCAATGGACGAGGTTTCAGAAGACGAGTTATTGTTTTTTTCGTGAATATTTGGCGATTTCATAGCTGGGGAATTAGGGAAGGATCCGTTTGTGAAGCTCTTTTTCTCCACTGTGGTTTTAGTGAAGCTGTTTGGAGTTGCTGCCTTAATACGGTGGGCTGAGTGTGAAGAGGGAGGCCTTCCTCTTCTAGCACCTGTGGGGTGCAAGGGTGGGGTCCCAGGAGTGACGGCGGGGGATGGCATGGATGAGGGTAAAGCTGAGAGGGTGGTGAAGGCAGCAAAGGCTGAAGTTGCGCTGCTGTCGGAGGACATGTTAATGCTAGAATCGCTGTGCTCATCGTCTTTGTCTTTGGTTTTCATGCCGATCAACTCCTGGGCAAAGTCCGACATGCCGTACTGCGTGGCGATGCGCAGGCCCTCTTCAAAAAGGGAATCCTTGTGATTGTGTATGGCGGCCATGTACAGCGTGTTCAGTGGGTTGGGGACTGATGAGTCGTCAGTGAAGATGTAGCTGCCTTTAATCTTGGGGTTCAGGTTTCCATGCGTTGGGGACAGCTTGGCATCTCGGGCTAAACTGACTGAATAAACAAAAGCAATTCGCATTAGTTCTAAGCCTAGTTTTAAAAGGCACTGCTAGATTACTAGCAGATTAGTTAGATAAATTATTGTAAAGACTAAATAGACAAGTGATGTACAAAGTTTCTTCAAGGATATTTTTAGAACAAAAGCAGTTTGAATCAGTTCTATGTCTAGTTCTAAATGTTAAAGGTACTACAATTTTTCTAGAAATTTTTGTTTTAGATAAAATATACCAATGGTAAATAAATAGTGCTGTACAAAGTTTCTATAAGGAAACAAATTAGGTATTATATGATGACTAAACTTACCTGATGGGACGGAGTATTTAGAGCTGCCTTTTCTATACCTGAGAAAAACACAATTTCTTCAAATTTTAAATCTGATTTATTGTTTCTAGTTTCAATTTTTATTATATTAATAAACAAAATTTTAATACTAGCTTAATCAGTGGCTGTTAAAGATTTTTTTTTTTTATTAATTAAAATATGTCTAGAACAAAAGTAGAAATATTAAAATCCTCAAACAACAAATACAAAATGAAGAATTTTTTTAAAAATTATTTTCTTTACGAAGTTAATTTTCTTTTTCTTTAGTATATTTTTATTGCCCTGACTACTGAAGATTATAACGGAAAATAATTAAAACCTACTTGGCAATGGTGTTTATTATTCTTTGCCTTTTTTTAGTCAAGGCAGACTGGCGGTCATTCAGGTCATCCATCTCAGAGGTCAAGGTCTTCATCTGATCATGGTCATTGGCTTCAAGAAGAACCCTCAAGGCACTTCGGATGCGATCCTGCTCTTTGGACAACTCTGTGAGATCTAATGTAATCTGTGTAAGTTCTGCCTGTGTATCAAAGGAATTAGAATTATGATTTAAGCACCTTTCAACTGAACTGTTTTCCTTCTGAAATTTAATTGAAACCCTATTTTAATTTTACTACAAACTGTGAATCATTTTGTTAGTAGGACCTAAATTTTTTAAAATCTATAATTCCCTAAAGTTTACTCATGGTTTATTAGTTTATCCATTATTCAGGAGAAATATACCTGTAGTTCATTAAAACTTTCTTCATTGGTGATAGTTAGAATTGTGGAGGAAGAAAGTAAAGTTGAAGTTGATGGGATAGCCTCCCCTTGCTCAAGTTTGGGTTGTACCAAAACCTCAGCAGCCCTGTACAAATATATTATTGATACAGTAACACACAGGCCATCTTAAGTTTATGGTGTAAAATGTGTCATTTAAGTTTAATGGATTTTTTATTTTTAAAAAGTATTTATTGTTATAAATTATTCTTAATTTTTCATACAGTATTTCACAGGCTACAATAGGTTTATAAAGTAAATTTTTTTTTAGGTTGTTGATAAAAAAAATTATGAGTTTTTATCTTTGGAGCTTATTTTATTCAGTTTAATTTTTTTGTTTACTTCAAACAATTATTATTCTTATCTTTTATTTAACTATTAAAACTGTTGAAAAAAAATAAAATAAGTAACACAACATGCAAGATTTGTAAAAAACATAACATTGTGTTATTGACTGCATCACAGAGTTAGTTACATATTGCATAGACTGAGCCAGTAAGTAAATCCAACTAGATCTACAATAAGAGCTTTGATTAACAAACTAGATCTACATGAGAAAGTATTTAATACTCTGATATTTTAAATTTAATTTTAAAAACTCTAATTAGATATTCTCACTGTCATACTGTCACAATGACCCAAGTATTAATTTTTTTTTATTTTGGAGAATAACATTGAATTATATACATATTACTTATGTTGTGGCAGAATTCAATAACAGAGGATTGTGACAGTATAAAACCACACTGGTTAGACTTACTTGTTTATAGTTTTAAAATGTATGTAGCTAAAGTAATTTTACACAAACACACCACCAAAACACCAAGCAACAAAATCAGACATTAGGAAAAGTTATATAAAAACTATTATCTGTATTGTTATCAAATGTAACAAATTTCTTAATTTATTTGATAATCAAATTTTTTTTTTCATTTTCTGTATACAAACCAATCAAGGTTTTAGAGAATTCATAAGTGAGTGAAGAGAATTTCCAGTTTTTAAGTCTAAATCAAAATCAATTGCCACTATTTTGTCATTATTGTTACATTTTTAACAACAGATGAAATTTCAGAACTTTGCCTAAGGCTGATTTTGTCAAAACAATGAACACTTCACAACAACTAAATTCTTAATGAAAAGATGTTTACCCTTTTAAATCGTACCTAGAGTGCCCTTTCGAGTACTGGTACCCACTATCTCTCACTACTTGTCTTGCCAAGGGAAACAATTCCTCCCTCCTAGTTAGTAGTGCAGGGAAATGACTACAGAGTTGTGCTGCTGCTTCATTTACTGATATCTGAAGAGATAAAAAAAGTTTAGAATGGTTTTAAAACATAACTGGAAAAAAGAGTGAAATACAATTTTTAAAAAAGGACATAGAAATTAAAGGTTACAATAAAGTTTGAAAAATTACATTGAAAAATTTTGAAAAGTTTGAAAAATTAAATTTTAAAAATAAGTTTATATAAATTTTGTAAATGTTTAAATTACTTAAGTAAAATTAAAACATGATTTAAAAAATTAAGGAAGTCATTATATCCATTATTATCACAGATTAAGAAAATTCAATACCTAAACAAATATTTTAGCATTATGACAAACACTAACTGAATTTTTGTATAATAATCATTAAAACGAGGTATTTCATAAACAAACCTAGTCTAGATGTAAAATAAACCTAGCCTAGATAAAGAAAGCTGAGATGCGATGTTTGATTGAGGGTAGTGCAATTAACACTGGGCGTTGCATTTTAAATTTATAAATCGTTCAACTTAAAACACTTGGGTTGGTAATCACAATTTGATGTTAGATTTGTAAGCTATCAACCACAGGCCTTTTTGTGCGATCACATTTAAAAATGTGAACTTTTATCTAATCAGAAACAAGAAACTTAATTACAAATTTGCCTACTTCGTGTAAGGACATGGGTCTGTCATTTTTTCTTTTTGAGTCAAACCTGCCATAGATGGCAGCATATTTTCTCAGGGCATCCATCCTGTTGGGGTCATCAAGGGGCATCATCATTACACACTGGTGAAGAGAATAACATTCAACATTAGTCACAAACAATACAACAAATTACTGAAGTAATATTTAATCATAATACCTGGATGGTTAGACAGTTATCTGTTTCAAACTTAGAAGTATTTGAATTTATCCGAAAAAAAACAGTAATTTTCAGGTTGGTTATTTTTTTACAAATTGAAGATTTTTTTATAAGTAAAAATATGTTTGTATTGTAATTGTAAGCAGCTGCAACAATAAAGCTAATTAGCAATCATCTTTTTTTTTTTATTTTTAATTTGCAATCACAACAACAAAGCTGGTAGCATTATTCTACTAGTTAAAGTAATGAAACGAGCTTACACTAATTTCCTTGCTGATTTGTTTCTTTGGCATTGACTTGGGTTCAAACGGAGGCAGGGTTTGAGCCAGCATGGCTGCAGCTGTTGCTATGGCTGTGATCTGATGTTCCAGCAGGGTGGGCTGGGACAGCCCCATCATGCCAGCGTAGGACTGGTCATCTGGGTTGTACTGGGGGGAATACAAAGTTGGACTCTTCATTAGGTTAATTTCTCTATTTGATGTATATTATTTAAGTAAAGTAAGTTAAGTTCCATAGTTGGACTTTTCATTAGGTCAACTTCTCTATTGGATGTATAGTAAAGTAAGTTAAGTTCAATAGTTTAACTTTTCATTAGGTCAACTTCTCTATTTGATGTATATTATTGAAGTAGAGTAAGTTAAGTTCCATAGTTGGACTCTTCATTAGGTCAACTTCTCTATTTGATGTATATTATTTAAGTAAAGTAAGTTAAGTTCCATAGTTGGACTCTTCATTAGGTCAACTTCTCTATTTGATGTATATTATTAATGTTAAGTAATGCAAAGTAATGCAAAGTAAATGGTGGTCCATGGGCAAGTGAAGTAGAGTTCACCTATTTCTGTGACCTCGGTATATAAAGGGATAGTGTGGTCAGCACTGTGCTGAGCCACCTTAGCGTTCTATAATGTTAGGTACCCATTACAGCTGAGTGAAGTCAGACACTTTCTACTGACGTGAACTCAGGTTTGAACTCAAAACAATCGGGTTAGCAGTCCAGCGCTCTACGGCTAGGCCACGCCATCCCCCATGTATCTTATTACTTGACATATATATTTGACATTAATCAAGTTTTAATATGCATCAAAAAAAGGACAAACAACAATATTTGGCATAGTGCTAGCCCCCTCAAAAATTCTAAATCTGTTACCAAATTATCTCAATTTCTTTTACTGAACAGTAAAACATGATTTATGCCCTTTTAGGAAATAGCCAAACAAATAATAGTTTAAATAATTAAATTACTGGTACTACTGTAATACTTTGAAAACAGTGTAATATAACTTTTCCTGAACTGTAAATGCAATGTGTATACATTATAATAGCGACAGTTTCCCTTTACAATGTGCCATTTAAGTTAAACTTAAAAGTCAAAAACAAAAATTATCACAATCAATGAAGAAATAAAAATGGTGGTTGTATTAAAGAGAAAAATTAAACTTTGTGTTGGGAGCCTCACTAACTACAACTACTGTATAAAACCTAGGTCTTCATCAGATTACAACAATGTGATTTAAGAATTGATTCAAACCAAGATTATATCTATATAACACTATAATTAGTTATCTTCAAAAATACACAAAAAAAAAGCTTATGCAAGGATTTGTGTCAATTTACTTAATACAACAATGAAACAAAATGCTAGCTCATCACAAATGAGTAACAATCTTTATCATGATCACACACTCACCAGAACATCCTTCATGATATCTTTAAAATCAGCTTGAGGAGAATCTGAAGGGCTGGGATGTTCCAAGTTACTCCCCTCTGACGGGCTTACTCCCCTTACACCACTTTGACATGCCCACGGCGTGGAGGTGGAGATGGCGGAGGACTGGGGAGGCGTCACCTTGAAGTCTTGAATGTTATTGGAGCGTTCTATGGAATGGGAGGGACTGAGTGCTTGAGATGATCCCGCCATGCTCATGACATGTGTTGGGTATTTCTTGATAACTGGAGTGGGTTTAAACACATTAATGGTGCTAGCAATTTATTTACAGGACATATTTAATCTGTCTGAGACTTATAATTCAAATTTTATATAGTATATATAAATCAGTGGGCTTAAAAAATGTGAGGTTTAAATTAGATCTAATTTATATTCTGAAAACAGGCATGTTTTATTTGGAGTTTAGGGAAAACAATTTGTAGAACAAGTTCAGATCCAGCGACAAGTAGGCTGATCATACATGAGTCCATCTATCTCTAAAGGTTACCAGATTCTAGTTGTAAATTAAACATAATGATCCTAATTTGGTGGTAAATGAAACAGATACTCTACTTCTTTCACCCAAAGAATCATCAGGTCCAATAGAGTACTTAACTTTTTTAAATAGTTAATGGGCAAGTAACATTTTCTGACTAAATACAATTTAAACATTGCTGTTCAGATAATGCTTCCATTTATATAAATATTTTATCTTTGTGATTTTATAAATGAAAAAAAAAAAACAACACAAAACTGTATTTACCCTCAAAGGCAGCTGGGTTAGCCACCCACTCCTGCAGAGCTTTTTGTAATCTTCTGACATGGAGAGGTTTACTAGCCATTCCCACAAGGGCCATAATCTCCAGAAACTCATCTTCCCCTGCCTCACACAGCTGCTGGACATCATCTCCCCCTGTGCCAGGAAAACAACAAACCATTCCAAAAATACAATAATAGAAACTTTTTACCTATTTCATATCTATTTTTCTAACAATTATTGAACACATTTTACCCTCTCCCCTATCTCAAATGCACACTTATTCGCGGACTACTAAATTGCTACATCTACCTACCTTGAGTAATGAAAGTTTCAAAATATTGCAAAAGGTTTGCACGCTGTAATACCCTGTACAGCTGAAGCTCCGAATTGTTGGATGGCTGGACAGAAGCCATCTTGTTTCCTAAAGTTATTCCAGTTTCTGGTATTTCTTAAAATCTGGAATAATAAAATAAATAATTTAGTCCAAATAAAGAAAGTCCAAATAAAAATTTGACAAAATATAAATTTTGCTATATCATAATTTATTCTGAATCTTTTTCAAGATTTTAAAATGTATCTAATAATGCAATGTGGTTTGATTTAAACAAGATGGTTCGACTAGGCTTAACGAGATAGTAACTAAAACTATCATAATTTTAATCTGATAATGAGTGTGCAAAAAAAAAAATTCACCTAACAGAAATATTATAGTATCAGACAGAAATTATTAGTTATATACTTAAAAAAAAAAACTTTCTTTAAAAACTATGTTATTTTTATAGAACTAATTTTTGCACAAGAAAATAAAGTAAAAAAATGTTACTATAAAAATAACTTTATATAAACACATTTGAACTACACAAAGGGTTAATATCCTATTACCAAATATCTTAATTGTTAAATGAGGCGAGAGCACACAACTACACACACACCACCGACTACTCACTCACAGCTATGTGGGATACCACACAACGCACCATCACGGGACTCAAAGGACCCTGGTTGGGGTCTCCACAAAAAGATATGACTAACACTTAAGTGACAGGAAAGCTGAAGTGCCCCACCCTATCCTCTAACCAAACACTCACCCTCTCACACCATACACTCACTTGGCGAGGCTTTTTTATTCTTTGTTGTTTTAAAAACCCTGTTAATTCTAGCTGTTTTTGTGTGCATACAAATTTTATATTTTATATATATAGGAATAGACCTACATTTTTGTAAAGATGTATAGCATTTTTTTAAAGTTTTGAATAAATTAAAATTTGTAAACAAACATTGCTAGATCTTGATCAATAAGTGTAAAAATTATGTATCTGATGTTTTTTTTTTATTTTGTTTTAGGGTCTAGATATAGAAACTCAATATAGGCCTAGGCCTCAACAAAATAACTCAGCTGTTGTTTTTTGACGTAATTAATCAGCCTTTCGTTTTTTAAGTTTTAAACTATTTTACTATGAAATGTAGCTTTATATAAGCTTTACAACTATTTTATAATTAAAAAAATGTATGTAAAGAATTTTTTTTTTTAAATAGAAAGTAAGAAACAATTAACACTTAAGTATAAGAGTCATATTCACATATTTTATTAAGGTATTTTTACAGCATAGGTTACTAGAAAACAATTGCAGGTATTGCCAGGTGTCATAATAAGACAACTCAATAACATTTGTAGTGTTTCTTTTATGATTAGAATGTTAGTGTTATGGATGGTGTGTGCGTTAGACTTAGTTTTTTTTATAAAGCATCATTCACTATTAATATTAACCATTCTAAATTCTAAACTATACTAGAGTCTACATCTATACTTAATCTGTTTAATCATAATAATGTGTTGTTTAGTAATTAAAAACATAAGTAAGTAGGCCTATTAGTATTCGGTAAATATTACTAGTCTAGATCTAGATATGTAATGTGTAGCCTCCTATATTTTTAAAAGTGTGATTACTCATTGATTAGCCATACTCACAAAGTTACATAATGTCATAATGATATTAGGAGCAGAGTTTCTTCCAGGCATCTCTTCAGGGGGGGGGGGCATATTCTTTTAACAGTGTCCGCCCCCCCCCCCCCCCCTCCCAGAGAAAAAAAGTCTGGAAGAAACACTGATTAGGAGGCCTAGACCTAGATCTATAGCTTAGTAAAGGTGGTTAGCAGGCTGGCTTCTTTAGATCACTAGAATCTAGTAAGTAGAATCTAGATTCTCTCTAGACCTAGATCTAGATTTTAGTCTAGATCTAGATCTAGATTCTAGATCAAGAAACTAAGTCTAGAATTCTCTAGATCAAGAATCTAGATTTCTAACTAATTTATTGCTTAGGCTTTCATACGAAGTGATGTTGATATTATTAGTTTTTAGTTTAGGTCAAGTTTTTCTTCTCACTAAGTTTTTAGTTAGATCTAGAAATCTAGATCTAGATTAGATGATTAGATCTAGAGTCTAGATCTAGTCTAGAATCTAGACTTCTAGTCTAGATCTAGATCTAGTAAGTTAGGCCTAGCTAGAGTCTAGATCCACATCTAAGATTTTGATTCTAGACTAGACTCTAGGACAGGCCTTGTCACTGATTGTGTCTAAGTCTAGGTCAAAATATTTTTAATTTTTTTTATATAGAATCTAGATCTAGATCTAGATCTAAGAGATTAGATTCTAGATTCTAAATCTAGCCGAGTCAAGTGGTCGCAAGTGTGACATTTTTCCCCGACCCAAACATGGGCAGGGGTTCACCCACCGACGGCCCTATTTTACACTCCATGCTCTGCTAATTCTAATAACCGTACCATCCGGATACAGTACAGTAATTCTCACAACCAACAAACCAGTATGGCACACTCCACTCCCGCTCCACACTTACCAAAGCGGATGAAACAGCAGGATTGGGGCATAGGCCTACACTAGGCCTCAATGTTTCGCCTGCTAGGCGGGGGGGGGAGGGGAACGGAGAGGGGGGTTGTATAGTAGTAATGTGGGTGGGGGTGGAGCTTTTTAAAAAGCAACAACCACTGCCCCACTTTGCCTTCATTCCATTTGGAGATAACCCCTGACCTTTAGCCTCTGTCCCCTTAGACGGGATACGCCCCCTCCGTGTACATGTTCGCGCATGCGAATTCAGTTGGGGACGGAGTGGTACAGTGTGGGTAGTCGAAGGGTAGGGCCGAGGAAACATGTGGGAAATATTAATACATAGCTTGTGTTGTTGTTTTGAGTTTTTAATTTAAATTGCATAAGTAATATAAGTAGTTTCTCTTCTGATTGCTATTAAATCGATGTGCTATATAGAATACGTTGATTAGAAAAATAAAATTATCATCACAGGTACTGATAATAAAATTGATACGCCCGTCACAATACATTTTGGTTTCACTGCAGGCCTACATTTGCAAGGGTAGAAATAAAACAAGGTTGTGGATTACATGTTAACATTATTTTAGGCATTTCCCTTTTGTTATCTAGTCTACCTTGTTCGTGTAAAAAAAAAAATGATTCATGGGTGGAGATTTAGGCTGAGAACCAGTATTTTAACAAACAATGGGTTATAGTGGTGGTTTAAGGGTTGCAAAAAAAAAGGGGAGGGGTGAATTTCTATATTTGGTGTAGGGGAGGTAGTTAGACTTCCCGTATATTTATAGCAACTGGGGTGGGAAATCAATTTGATTTAAAGGAGAGAAAAAAAACGTACTCAGTCCCGCCTTTCCCCCCCCCCCCCCCCCCCCCCATTTTCACTGAGTGTTCAGCGTCTGGTCCTAGACTACAGAAGTGGGTTATATTTTAAATCACAGACTGTATGACATTGTTAAAATAATATATTCTATTTTTATGGGGGGGGGGGGGTAACAATGTTAAGTTCAGCCTCTTGGCCTTAGACATAAGTAGCTACGGCCGTCGTTAAGTTAAAGTTAGAGATCGTGAGTAAGATGGGGACTGCTTATTTTTATATATGCTAAATATCCGTCAAGAGAAGCATCTAACGGCCGATGGTTCTATTTTTATTATTGTTTCAATCTCTGTTGTTGTTTTTTTAAATAATTCATCAACAAAAAGTGTTGTTTTTTTAAAATTGTAAAATGCACGTGAAGACAGGGAAGATCTGCATAAATGAGTTGTGGCATAGTTTATTAACTAACATAACATTAGAGCTCATTTGCATCTAGTTAGACTACGGCTGATCAAATGTATATGTTGTATGTGTTTATAAATTTATAAGCTGTATGTGTTTGATGGAAAGATATAGCGAGATCCAGTTACATTTTCCATGTCTGATCAATAGCCGTCATGGATATCTTCACACACACACACACACACACACACATATATATATATATATATATATATATATATATATATATATATATATATATATATATATATATATATATATATATAGGCCTAAATATATATATATATATATATATATATAGCGTGTACATAACGTTTCCGTTAGTATTTAGTATGCAAGTTAATAGTAGGCCTATAGCAGGCATGCACACATGAGCTTAATATGCAGATGATACATGAAAAATCTTAATCTTAATTGACCTTCATCAATTAGCCTTGTAATAAATTGACTAGTGTGAAAATCAAGAGATCTAGAGCGGCAGTGCTATCAGCTGGTGTCTGACTACACAGCTGACACGGGAGAGGGGGGAACACAGGGCGACAACCCTTAATTACTACGAGGATATTTACTCCCTTGTCTTGTTATTGTAACGTGAGGGCGGGGGACTGGGGGAGGGGGGAGAAGTCAGATGTACACCACAGAACAACTTTGTTCACAACGTTTAAAGAACATACGAGTATAGTTTGTAATTTATAAATCAAAGCTGCTGTAGCCAGTTATTAGATCTCGTAACTAAGTTTGCATTCGTATTATTATCTAATTAAGTATGGGTGGGTGGGGTTTATTTTTAGCTTAACTAACAACTTGACACTTTCACTAACATTCATGGCCCAAGTCAGAAGCTTATATAAATATAGGCTATAATAATAAATAAATATTACTGAGGAATACGCTATACTGTTATACTATATCTATATGTCTAATTAATTAGAGAACCAGCAGGCATAGGGGTAGTTATTAATATTATTGTTTATAAATAGGTGCCTGGTGTTTATGTATGTAGGCCTACAGTTACTACAGTATTAGTATGTAGATTTATATTATTACTAATATTACTAGTCTAGTTGGTATAGTAGTAATTTACTTAGTAATACTTAGTATTATAATTTGCTTCATAGTTTAGTATAAGTTAAGTATAATCTAATTAATTAATAGCCTTATTGTAACACATACGTGGTGTGTAGGTGTCGTTTGTTGACACCTTGAAAGTAAGAACTATAGCCAGACTTACCAATAATTTAAAAAATAACAACAATAACAGAACACAGCCAGCTGTATATTGAGAACACAGACACCACCAACCCGTCCTTGCCTAGCCCGGCTCAGTGACTGTAGGGGGGATGGGCCCGACCCTCGCAAGTTTGCAGCCAGCACGGCAAAACTAGGGTAAGCCACGTTGTGTGTGGGGGGATGGGTGGCGTGATGAACGGGCTTGTGGGGGAGGGGCTGTACGCGAAAGGGGGGGGAGGGGTGTTTTTTTCTGGGGGTGGGGTAGGGGAGGGGGTGTTCGCCATATAAGGGCCCTTATCGTCGACGTCATCAGACGTTAGTATCACGATTGGGCTCATTCACCCACGTGAATGTTGCCGAGGGGAGGCGGGCTGTACCGAGGGGCATCGATCGGGTTTTCCTGGGGGTCGTGGCGAAAAAAGAAGTGCGGGCTTGCGTGTGGGGGAAACAGTGAGGAGAACAGTCCGCCGTACACACACACACACACACACACACACACACACACACGTAGCGGAGAGGTGGAGTGGCGGGGGTTTATGATTGGGTCCCTTGCATGCATACACAAGCCGTCGACGAAACGTTTATCGTAATGGTACGGAACGTCGTGACCTATACCTACCCCCCGCCCATTTCTCCCCCGCCCCTCTGTAAATTAGAGGGGGGGGGAGATATTGTGCACGTTGTTTTAAGAGATTATTTTGAAAATATTAATTAGGTCAAGATAACCTACTTCATGTATCTTGAACTGATATTTCCCTAAAGTGAAAATATAAATATTTTTTTTTTAAATTATAAATCTTTTATTTGATGGCTGTTCGCCCGCAGAGCTAAGAGTTGTCTTTCCTGCTTAGCTGTATTTGTGCATTTCTCTCCCCTTACTAAGGTATTTAAAAAAAATGTAAGGAAGGTTTAGCTGACATGGGCGTGTATGCTGTTTAAAAAACTGTTTCAGAATAATGGAGAGGGGGGGGGGGGGGTTGTGTGAAGTTGAATACACAGCGAGGGGGGAGGGGGAGTTAATCTCAAAGGGGTTACATGCGACACCTAAAACCGACACGACAAAATGTTAGCGGAAAATCTGAAGTTATTTAATTTCGGCGCACAAATTGTCGTCCCTACTATCTCCGGCCACGTCCACAGGGGCAGATGAAGTAGAGTTTATCTGTTTCTCTGACCTAAGTACACGGTCGTATAGAAGGGTCAGGCATGTCGTCATGCGCTATAGGGTTTAATAAATGATAGTTAAAACTAAAAGTGATAGATTGTGTTAACTCGTATTATCGTTTACTCTGTTGAACAATGGTTAAGGGATAGATTTAACTGTAACTGTGCCGTTAGGGTTAAGCCTTAATTGTTCGGACTCTACGACACAGATTATTCTAAGATATAGGAAATAATCTGTAAGCCCAACGCGTTGCTTAAGTCTGTTTAGTTGGGGGGGGGGGGGGGGGAGTGAGGTAGAAGTGTTGGATGGTCAATGTTTTTTTTTTCAGACATCGTTATTAAACCAGTGTCCGACCCCCCCCCCCCCCCCCCCGAAAGTTTCAAGAATTCGGTACAAACTAACCGGAAGTTGATTTGAACAAAATCCAACTGTGCTTTCTGTGAAAGTCCCCTCGGGAGTTTCAAGTGCCCTCACCCCCCGGAAGTTTCAACTCTGCGTTGGTCTGCTGATAGTAAGAATATACATATATATATATATATATATATATATATATATATATATATATATATATATATATATATATATATATATATATATATATATATATATATATATATATATATATATATAATTTAGACTTTTTCCTCCCCGGAGAGGGGTGGGGGTACTTGAAATTTTCGGGGGCGGGTGTAGAATTTTCGGGGAGGGGGCGGACACTGGAAAAAGTATATAATTATATTTCGTTGAATGGGACGGTAGACATGTTTTTTTTAGGGGGGGCGGGTGGGGGGTGGGGGGGGGGGGGGGTGGGGGGGGGGGGTGGTGTGTGTGGGGGGGGGGGGGGGGTGAGTGGGGGGGGGGTTTAATTTAGACTTTTTCCTCCCCGGAGAGGGGTGGGTGTACTT